GGATATCAGTATGTAATAATGCTTGATAGTGTGACTTCACCGAGAATTTTCCATTTGGATTTAAATTCCAGTGAAACTCATCTTGTTCATAGGCCAACTCTATATTAGCAATACGGGACAACAAATTATTCCATGCTACTAATTTGGGATCAATGAGGTCTCTTCGCCAAGATAGGTTTTGTGAAGGATCAGAAAGAACCTCCGCAATGGTAATGTGTTTAGGTCTAGCAATGTTGTAAAGACATGGGTATAAAGACGAATTCTCTAGCCATTTGTCTTCCAAAAACGTACTTGTGTTCCGTCTTAATTACTACGCAACTCGAATAAATGTGTAAACCACTCCAATTAATAATGAAGGGTAGTATAATATTTTATCTATCATAGTAATTTGCTCTAAACTTTTTAGAAATCTATTTATTTATATTTAGGGACAAAGAGAGCAGTAATTCTTACCCACCAAAAACAGGTATCATATACTTCGCATAGATGTCGAGCCTGTTCAAAGTTACGTCTTTATCAAGCATGAATCTTGCAGCTTTTTATTGGTGGCCCCCGACTCCCAAGAGGCAAGACCGCAAGAGGGTGCAACACGGGGGATTTTTTTTTTAGCCAAATCAAGGTGTGAGTGCAGACGTGCAGTGGAGATGGGAGACGAGAGCAACGAGCGGGAGGCGACTCTGCTCCAAAGGTTCTCGTGGCAGCTGTGCTCCAACACGGCATGGCGGGCGCACGCCGGGATTGTCCTCGTCCAGCTCGCCTTCAGCGGCTACCACGTCCTCACCAAGGCCGTCCTGAACGCGGGCATGAACCAGGTCGTCTTCTGCGTCTACCGCGACCTCGTCGCGCTCGCCATCCTCGCCCCCGTCGCCTTCCTCCGCGAGAGGTACGGTGTGCACCACGCGTGGCGGCGCCGCCGCCTCATCGCCTGTGCTGCTGGTCTCGCTCGATCGCTTCAATTCATTTCCTCCGTTGTTGCAGAAGGGTGAGGCCTCCGGTGACCCCTCAGCTCCTCGCATGCTTCGCTCTTCTTGGCTTCACTGGGTACGAATTCCGATCCTCTGCCCATGCTGGAACAACTAGCCTCTACGTACAAGCGCCGACACCGATCTTCTTCTGCAGGCTCTTCGTGAACCCGCTCCTCTTCCTCGTCGGCCTCCGCTACACCAACGCTTCTTACGCCGCGGCGTTCGAGCCCTCTGTGCCAGTCTTCGCGTTTCTCTTGGCTGTGATTGCCGGGTAATCATCAGATGAAAATGCACTCCAATAATTTCATTGGCAATTTCAGGAGACGTGGCCAAATTGAGTGCTCATTTGGAAAACAAGGCCTGGCCGGCTACAGTGTTCTGAATAAAACTCTAATTAAAACTCCAGCTACATTATTCTGAATAAAACTCTAATTAAAACTCTTTCAGCGTTGAAGCGATCAACATCTTCAGCAAGGACGGCATCCTCAAAGTCATCGGCACAGCCGTATGCGTCTCCGGTGCCCTTCTGATGGCTCTGTACAGAGGCTCGTCCTTGATTGGCCTGGGAGGCGCCACTGCATCATCAGCAAGTGAAAATGCCACCACCATTCCTGCTCAGTGGCTGACATCTACCGTGCTCGAGCTTGGTGCCTTGTGCCTTGTGCCTTGTGCCTTATAGGACACTGTTTCTTGGTGGGTGCTTATCTAGTCATACAGGTAATGGAAAATTTGGAGCTTATATCTATGCTTCATTGATCCTGATTGTGGTGTTAATATTTATTGACCGTACCAGACCACCTTTAATTTTCTGTTGTCTTATTAGTTCTTACCCAATTAATGTTTGTGCTCATGAATCATGATTGATGCAAATTAGCACCTTTTTCTGCCGTGACGATTACAGGTTTCTGTGATTAAAAGCTATCCTGCAAGCTTATCCTTGACAGCTTATTCCTATTTTTTTGCCACCGTCTTTATGGTGTTCACGGGAGTAGTTGCAGCCAATGGGCTCCATGAGTGGGCACTGACAAAAACTGAGATCGTAGCTGTTCTATACGCTGTAAGTGTCTCTATCTAGAAGGCTAGAAGCCTTCATGCTTAGACCACATCACTTTCATAGCAATGATGCTAAGATTTAGGAAGCTCTCTGTTAGTTATTCTAACCAAATTAAAATTCTTACTTGTACCTTCAGGGAATTGTTGCATCTTGTATGAGCTATGCACTCATGACATGGGCAAACAAAATTCTTGGACCTTCGCTGGTTGCCCTCTATAATCCACTCCAACCAGCTTTTTCTACCGTCCTCTCAACTATTTTTCTTGGCGCGCCAGTTTACGCCGGAAGGTTTGATTCCACACACTACCTATCTAAAATATAAGTTATTGAAACATTCAAAAAATTATTCTAAATTATAGGGTACTCTAGATGAGCTAACTTCCGAAAGGCACCAATCACATGTGTATTAATGTGTACCACCAGGTCAAAATATACTAAGCACAAGATATTCCGACTTTTAAAAAGAGGGTTACATGCATCATTTTCTCTACACTATAATCTGTACTAAAATTCGTATTATACATTATATTTCATGATAGAGGGATTATTGGATTATTCGTCAAATCTTGGACCTTTTGAACTAGCTAGTAGCTCTTGAATCTTGTTCTTATTAGTTGTTGACTTATACACTTGCAAGCCAAAAAAAACTACATTGAGGTACTTGGTCAAATATGAAACTGGTGAACTTTTTACAGTGTGTGTGTGTATATATATATATATATATATATATATATATATATATATATATATATATATATATATTCTTTTATTCTCTCCTTATAAACTCAACGAAAGTTATGTAACTCATCATAGAGAAAACAACTTATGTAGCAAAGTAGTATTGATCCTAACCTTTTGTGCACGCTTGTATTCAACTGCTTTCAGCATTATTGGGGGATTTTTCATAATTACTGGCCTATATCTAGTTACATGGGCTCGCTACAATGAAGCGCAACGAACAACGATGGATGATTATTTGGACCCTCTTCTTGTGGGTCATCCAAGAATCACTAAGACACAAGAAAGTTCTTTCATGGATCCTTAAATATTAGGGGATCAAATTGTTGTCTCAATTGTTTTCTCCAAGACATCACTTGAAGCAACATGTATATAGATTCTTTTATATATAAAAGATTGATTCTTGTAAACTAGGCCGGTCAAACCATTGACAATTTGACCTTGGGAGATTAATTTGTGCAGTTCCTCATAGAAAATATGCGCAAGTGTATCATCCTATAAATTTAGGTGTTTCGTTGTGCGTAAAAAAATCTCAAATTTCCAAAACCTTTTCTTGATGCTTTGAATCAAATAGATTTAAGGTCAAATTAAGTGAGGACCTCAACCTCTCCCCTGGATTCTTAAATTAATTTTTAAATAACATGTGTGTTGCATATAAATTTGTGGTTGTATGAAGTGGTTTGGATTTACATCGTCTTAATCGAATCCTTTGTGGGGTTTAATCTGAACCAAGATTCAAGTTCAACTTATAAAAACTATTTGAATAAATGGTTAAACTTCTTCATCCCTAGCTCATAATCCATCTCATGCCTAAACAAGCCCAACAACATAGGCAACATATCTTTCTCTACCACTCTTTTCCTCTATCTTCTAGTCCAACCCACCTAGCCTAGCCAATGTGGGTTGAGGTCGAACCACCTTTTTCCTTATTTGTCACCCTTCTCCACAGATTGTTGTTATTCTAACCACTCTCATTTTAACACCATCGCCTTGACCTTACACCTTAGCCTACCTCACCTACCAGTGCTTCGCATATCAGTTCACCAATCGTCTCCAACATCAAGCCATCTTTCCTCTTTTAGGGTTTTGTTTGTATTAGCTGTAGTTTTTTAGTTTTTGGCTCAAAAGTTGCCTTTTTGTCTTCTGTCTGTCAGCTCTTTGCTATTGTCTTTTATAATTAATATTTAGCTTCTTAGCACACCAAAAAGCCAGAAAAGCTCTTCGGAACGTACATTTCAATTCTAGATCATTTTCTCAGAAGCTATCTTTCCATTTTTTCAAAAGCCAACTGGTAACCAGCCGAAAGCTTCTGGTTTCCAGCTAGCTAGGCCGAAAGCTGAGACAAACAGACCCTTAGCCCACAATAACCCCATATAAACTTAATCTAGTTGCCAAATCCTCCAAATCCCTAAACCTAGCATGGTAAAAAAGGCCCCCCCCCACAACAAAGTGTAACATGTAAGTAGTTAGAATAAGAGGAGATAGGACTGAACTGGGAATTCAGGCCTGCCTAGCTATTGTTGCACACTAACTTTATATCATTCCTAATTTATAGGAGTAGAGATTTTGATGAAAAACATACACTCCAACGATCTCCAAATGTAGACATTCATTATTTCAGATTTCTCACTAGCTATAGAAAAAATGTTGGAGGGCACGGAAATATAGAAAGTGAATTCTATTTAAATAACTCTTCAAATGATAATTTATAGAGTAAATTTTAGAAACACTCTCGAAGATTTTTAACTTTTTATATAACTCCTACCTGAGTCTTGAGAGAGGAGAGAGAGAGTCAGAGGGAGAAAGCTATCGAATAAATAAAGAAAAAAAAATCAATAACAGAGGTGGAGAACCGGAGGGGGGGGGTTGGCGCAAGCAGGATTTCCGCTTTGGGACACCGTTGCGTGTTGCCAGATGTTGCTATCTTGGGCGCTGGGAGCGCTGACGTCCTCCACTGTGCCTGGCGTGTCAAGTCCCAACTCCCGTAAGCCACGGGAAGTCCGCAAGGCGACATTGTTTTTTTGTTTTCGTGATGAAGAATCCCATTCAAGCAAACAAAGCAACGCACTTCAGTAGCAGTACGTGAGAGTAGTGGAGACGAGAGTGGAGGGCGATGGGCGGAGACCGGAGAGCGGCGGCACTCCAGCGATACTCGTGGCCATGGAACGTGAGCGGCCGGCGGCTGCTGATGCCGAGTGGGGTGGGACGACAACAAGGCGTGGCGGTGGCGGGCGCACGCCGGGATGGTCTTCGTCATGCTCGCCTACGGCGGCTACCATGTCCTCACCAAGTCCGTCCTCAACGTGGGCATGAACCAGGTCGTCTTCTGCGTCTACCGCGACCTCCTGACCTTCGCTGTCCTCGCCCCCGTCGCCTTCCTCCGCGAGAGGTGCCCTGCCCCTGCCCTACCCTTCAATTAATTTCCTTTCCTTCTTGGATCTTGCTGCAAGCAAAGCAAGGGGAAAATCACATCTTCTCCTGCCGTTTGGTCCTTATCCGTTGTTGCAGAAGGGTGAGGCCTTCGGTGACACCTCAGCTCCTCGCGTCCTTCGCTCTTCTTGGCTTCACTGGGTACTCATAATCCCTCTGCTCTGCTGACGGAACATCTATAGAGAAGAGTCTGTACAAATTCTTCCATTGGTGATACTGATCCTCTGTCCTTGATTCAATTTATACTGTATGTCTGTATTATATATATATATATATATATATATGCAGGCTGTATGGGAACCCGCTCCTCTTCCTCGTCGGCCTCCGGTACACGAACGCTTCCTACGCCGCGGCTTTCCAGCCCTCCATACCTGTACTCACGTTTCTCTTGGCTGCGATTGTCGGGTGACTACTGACTATCATAACACTCAGTGTCATCAGAAATTCAGGATGTCTTTGTCTCACTGACTTGTCACCCCTGACCCACTCTTCAGTGAAACAGTCCTGAACTGCCATCAATTTGCAGTGTTGAAGCCATCAACATCTTCACCAGAGACGGCATCCTCAAAGTCATCGGCACGGTTGTATGTGTCTCCGGCGCCATTCTGATGGCTCTGTACAGAGGTCCATCCTTGATTGGCCTCGTCAGAAGCATGCCCAACGCATGGACGACCACTCCCTATCCTGATCCCAACTGGTTCACATCAGCCGTGCTCGAGTACGGTATAGAAACATGGCATCTTGGTGTCCTGTGCCTTCTAGGAAACTGCCTCTTGGTGGCTGTTTATCTAGTCATACAGGTAACGCAACTTTTAGAGCTTGCAATTAATCCTGAATCCCTTTCCTTTTTTTTTGTGTGTGTGTGTGTTCTTGCCGGCAACAAGATAGGATTTCACTGTTTATGTTCATCGTTGATGATGCAGATCAGTTTCCTTTTTCTGCCCTGACTGTTACAGGCTCCAGTGATGCTCAAATATCCTGCAAGCTTATCCGTGACAGCTTATTCATATTTTTTTTGCTACAATCTTTATGGTGTTAACCGGAGTATCTGCAACTAATGGGCTACACGAGTGGGCGCTGACAAAAACTGAGATCATAGCTGTTCTCTATGCTGTGAGTAACGCCCTTTATGCTTAGCCTACATCACTTGCATTCATAACAGTGATGCTAAGGTTTCCTCCCCGTGGTTAATTGTCTGACCAAGATTCTTGCTTGCACCGTCAGGGAATTGTTGCGTCTTGTCTGAGCTACTCAATCATGACATGGGCAAACAAAATTCTTGGACCTTCTCTAGTTGCCCTCTACAATCCACTCCAACCAGCTTTTTCCACCGCCCTCTCAACTATTTTTCTTGGTGATCCAATTTACATCGGAAGGTTTGATTTCACACACTGTGCAATAATTACGCTGAATCTGCTGTTTGAACATTGTTATTGGATTGCTCACCAAATCTTGGACCTTTTGAACTAGTAGCTCTGGAGTTGTGTTTTTATTAGTTGTTGCATGATACTCTTTCAAGCCAAATAAGAACATTTGCGGTGCTTTGCGGAACGTGAAAGTGATTGCACACACAGTCCTTATTGAAACCTCAATGAATTTATGTAATTGATAAAAAAAAACTTATGTAGCAAACTAGCATTGATTCTTTTTGAAACGAAGTAGCATTGATTCTGACCCTGTGTACACTTGTATTCAAATCCTTTCATTTCAGCATTATTGGGGGAATTTCCATAATTGTTGGTCTATATCTGGTTATCTGGGCTCGCTACAATGAAGAGCAACGAGCACCTATGGATGGTTATTTGGACCCTCTTATTGTGGATAATCCAAGAATCCCCAAGACACAAGAAAATTCCTTCATATAGATCCTTAAATGATCAGTGAATTAAATGGTTGTCTCGGTTTTCACCAAGATGTTAGAAGTAACATGCATAGATTGCCTTAAAAGATACTATATATACTTTTATGATCTCTTATGTTTGTTAAACTTTACATATATATTCTAATAAAGAAGTGGTCAAAGATTCACGTTGGAGAATTTGTCATTTCCGTCACGTACTTTAACTTTTAGCTGAGAGTATACATAGAGGGTGCTTGGATTCACCTAGCTGAAGAGTCCAGGGTCACCTATAATTTGTTCTACCTTCTTTTAGTGAAATACGTGCCTAGGCACGGTCACGATAAAAAGAGTCCAGGGACATTTCCTTACATGAATCGAACTTTAGTGACCTCCTAAACAAGCATCTTGTTTCTCTTCTACACCAACAGATGATTTAAAGCAGAGAGGCACTATTAAAGGGGTGAAATTTGGTGAGGGTAACACAAAAACTTTTCATGTCAATGCTACTATTAAACACTCAAAAACGCTATAACCTCCTTGCAAAGCAACATTTTTTTAAAGGATAAGGAGGGATTTGGACCCCTACTGGTTAATATATTAGACAAAGGCGTTTACAGAAAGGTAGAAAGCAGGATTGCAAAGCAAAAGTGGGCAACTATTTTTGACCACGAAAACAAAGCAGATCTACTCTGGAATGCTTACAAAGAAAGGCTTGGTTGTTCTAAATATAATTGTAATCACTTCGATCTGGATTCTGGACACTCTCTTAATGTCTTCAAATGATTTGGACGGTCTAGAAGAAGCACCTTTCTCTAAAGAAGAAGTTGATGCAGTGGTCAGAGATTTACCCTCGATAAATCTCTAGATGGTTTCAGTTCAAACTTCATGAAGAAGGGGCGTATCCAGTGCAGAGAGTTCCCGCTCTGTGCAGGGGGTCTAGGAAAGGGGGTTAGTGGCGAGCCTTATCCTCGCCTGTGCAATGCGAGGAGGCCGTGACTCGAACCTAGGACCTTCCGGTCACAGGTGGTAAGACTCTACCGCTTGCACCAGGCCCGCCCTTCAAACTTCATGAAGAAATGTTGAAATATATTTTGCAACGACTTCTACAAATTAATTGAGGATTTTATAATTATCCAATCTGTCTACAGAGCAACAATGGGTATCATATCACATTTCTTTCAAAAAAGGACACTCCAATTTATCCATCTGACTCCAGGTTCAGTCAAACTCCTCACAAAACTCCTGACAAATAATATTACAGGGTCAAACTATGAATCCCATACACAAAAATAATATGCCAATATCTTTTTCCTCAAGGGACTATTGAACACTTTTACTGCTTCTTCTAGACTAAAAGTTAACTACTCCGAATCAGTGGTGATCCCAATCAACGTCCCAGATAACAAGATGCACATCCTGGATTCTGAACTTTTCCAGGGTAGGTAATCCATAGACATGCCATTTAATTAGTCACTTAGTTCTCCCTAGCGGTATTTTCATCCCTGAGTTTGCCTCCCCTTTCTTCCAAATTAGGTCTTAGAGTATGTTACCAATGCAGGGACCAAGCAGTGGCTAGTGGGATAGAAGTGATGACAGATGCCGATATTATTATTCGAGCACGTTAAAGAAACAACTAAATGAATATGCTTGCAACTTCACTTAATTTTCGAGTTCAACTATTGGAACATGTGATAGATTGCTCATTCCAAGTCTGAATAGCTCTTTCATGATCGGACCATGCAATTTACCCAACTGCAATTGATCTGCAGATATGACAGTGAGAGATACATAAAGATAGCAGCCGTGTTACTATTAATAATATTAGTATATCTTATATATTGATTATTCTAAATAAATATTATAATTATGTTATATCTTATCTTATGATTGAATGGAAGAAACAATAAAATGGTATATGAAAGATCTTGTTTATTCTTGATTATAGTTACATGTATGCAATAAACAGTTTATAGACAGTCAAACAGACATTTCGTACGATCCGTTGTGTAAACTATCTGTTTAGTTGTCTACACATACTCCCTCCGTCCCAAAAAGAAGGACGTTATGGGATACGTGTAGATCATTTTTTTTTAATTTTGACTAGGCTTGTAGAAAATATGTGCAACATTTATATTTCTAAATAAGTTTATTATAAAAGTATATTCAACGATCTATCTAATGACACTAATTATGTATTATAAATATTAATATTCTTTTATATATAATTGGTCAAAGTTAAAAAATATTGACTTATCTAGAAGCGAGAACGACTTCTATTTTGGGAACAGGAAGAAAAATTGCAGACAGGAACTTGTCCGGTGGGTCCTCTTACCTCTTAGTGATGGCGCACCGGCCATCACTATCGGCTTCAAAAGATACCCGCGCTAATATAATCATGTCACAAGACCGAAGGGTATATATAGCTCCAAATCTGATGTCACAGCACCGAAGGCTAGTTCATAGTGGACGTTGCTTCGTTTTTTAATTTTATCAGCCAAATATTCAGCGGTTTCAGCGCATGTTTGTCCCTAAGCGGCGCAAGACAAGTTACCGAACACTTTTGAGGGAAAAAAAACACCCTGGCCATAAGCCCATAACCAACCACTCCTACCATCATGCACACTGGAATATGCTTTGCTCTGGAGCTGCATTTTTTTTATAAAAAATAGATGAAGCGTCTTCTCAATTATCAGATGAAGCGCTTTGGAGCTGCATGGTGTCGTGTTCGCGTTGCGTGGGTTTCTGACGTAGACGTAGGCTCCAAAAATGACCCCGGAAGGCCGGGACGGGACGAGAGATATTCCATTGGATTCGGAGGAACCTGCCACGCAGACGCAGGCACAGCCATCAGTGGCAGAGCTGAAGCAGGAACTGGCCGGCCGGCCGGAGGTGGGAATGAGAGGTGATGAGCAGGGGGATGAAGAGCCGAAGGCGGCGACGGTGCTCCGGCGCTGGTCGTCGTCGTTGTGGAGCTGGTGCGCGAGCGGAAGCGGGCCGCGGCTGCCGTGGGCGGACAACAGGGCTACCACGTCGTCCTCACCAAGTCCATCCTGAACGCGGGCGTGAATCAGGTCGTCTTCTGCGTCTACCGCGACCTCCTCGCCGTCGCCGTCGCCGTCCTCGCCCCCGCCGCCTTCCTCCGCGAGGGGTACCCAGGCGCCGTACTGCTCCGTCCGATCCACCAGCAGGATACTCTGCTGCGTGCAGAATTTTGGTAACACCTTTTTGTTATATATCGTTGTTGCACTGCAGAGGGGGTGAGGCCTCCGGTGACCCCTCAGCTCCTCGCCTCCTTTGCTCTTCTTGGCTTCCCTGGGCTGTATGCGAACGCGCTCTTGTTCGTGGTCGGCCTCGGCTTTCCAGCCCTCCATACCGGTCTTCACATTCCTCTTGCCCGCCATTGTCGGGTGATTATATAACTCATGCTACTAGAAACTTGTATCTGAATATAATTTCTGACAAGCATCTGAATGGAAATTGATGCTCTAGCATCGCATCGAAGCGATGAACTTGTTCACGAGAAACGGCATCCTGAAGGTTGTGGGCACAGCGGTATGCGTCGCCGGCGCCGTTCTGATGGTCGTCTACAGGGGCCCGTCCTTGATTGGCCTGGGAATGGGAGGCACCGATCCATCAACCATGCTTCATCAGTATGGTAATATGGTATAGAGACTCGGCATCTTGGCATCTTGTGCCTCATGGGAAACTGCTTCATGATGGCTGCTTATATAGTCATTCAAGTAATTGATGCAAAATCTTGGTACGGAGTACTAATTATAAGTGAGAACATATATTTCTTTAGGGAAATTGACAACATGTTTTCATTTTGTTCGGAAAAATGAAAGAGACAGGAATACTATATTATATGCTCCTAGCTAATTTACTGTTAACGTTTTTGTTCATGGTTGACACGAATGGTCGTTATCCTTTGGTGGAGGTTGCAGGCTCGAGTGGTCAAAAACTATCCGGCGAGCTTATCCTTAGACGGCTTATTATTCTTGTTTCTTTGCCGCCATTTTATGCATGGTTCTCACTGGAGTATTCGCAATCGCAACGAGTGGGCTCCATGAGTGGTATATCTGACAACAACCGAGATCATGGCTGTTCTGTATGGTGTGAGTCGTTTATCTCCTTTTGGCCAGGTTAACGCGCGACAACCCTCCGCGCGACTCCACTCCTCTGCTCGGCGACCCGACTAATCCCGTTTTAGACAGACCAAAGTATCCGTTTGTAGCCAGCTAGCTGTCGCCATAATGTCAGCTGAAAAACAAACTAAAAAAAGCACGACGTTTTTCTTCGAACGGCTATAATTTTTGAATGTTGTATCTGTTTTCAATTTCGTCTGCACACCGTGTGCTTTACGCGACGAAGACAAACAAAACTAGATCTCACTTACCTATGTTTCAAAGAATTTTATTTTATTAGCAATTTATATGTAAAAATGTACTTACCATGTAATACTAAACTTGATACTTAAAAATATACTAAAGTTTTTATATGGTATGTATAAGCTCGGGAGCAAAGAAAAATCAAAAGAAGTTACTATCATATAAAACTAAAGTTGCCACTCAAAAATATACTAAATTAATTACGTAGTATGCACAAGCCGGAGGGGCAAAAAAAAAAATATCAGAAGGGGTTATTACCATGTAACACTATAGTTGTACAACATAGAAGTCCTTGCACAAGCTGGGAGGCAAATTCTTTTTGTGATAACTTATGTGTGCAATGACTACCCTTTTATGACAACTTATATATCGTAGGTGAGACAACTAATATGCAATATTTAGGAAGACATTCAACTCTAAAAGGGAGATTGAAAACTAAAACTATTTTTTTAAAAAAACTTGACTGAAAACTGAAACTAAAAAAACACGAAAAAAACTGAAAACCTAAATATAGAAACTGAAAATACAACACTCAAAATAATAAGTGAAATAAACTAAAACTGAAGTTGACAACCAAGAAATTAAACTGAAATTGAAAAAATACAAATGAAAAAAAAAACTGAAACTGAAGTTGACAGCCAAGAAATTTCACTCAAATTGAAAAATAGAAAATGAAAACTAAAGAAAACAAAAAAAAAAACAGCGTCGCAATGCTGCCGCCGTACGCTCCATAGCGCATGGAAGCAGTCGAGTCACGCATGCAAGCAGTCCAGGCCGCATGTACGCGAGACGCACGTGCAAGCAGGCCAGCCCGCGTACGCATGCAAGCAAGTCCAGGCCGCGTACGCATGCAAGCAGGCCAGGCGAGTCGCGCGGTCACGCAGGAGCGCGACGGGTCGCGAAATAGCCTTTGCGTTTCTACATACTCAACCAAATTTCTTACTCGTGCACTGGGGAATTGTTGCATCTTGCCTGGCCTACACACTCGTTACATGGGCAGCCAAGGTTATTGGGCCTTCTTTGGTTGCCATCTACTTCCCGCTCCAGCCAGCATGTTCTACCTTGCTCGCAGGTCGCAACTATTTTTCTTGGCTTCCCCAATTTACATATGAAGGTACGTATGACCAACACACCAACACTCCGCACCATAGTAACAGTTATGTCGTCACCATTTGGCCATTGTTTTGGGAGTATGTGAGCCTACTTGGTTGGGGGCTTCCAATATTGACGAAGCCAAAGATTTAGCAATCAAAAATTAGATTAAAATATTTGCTATAGATTTGGTGAACTAAATAGGAGGTACGGGCAAATTTTGGCAACAAATCAAATAGAGGCAAAAAAATACTTGGCTTGATTTTTTTAAAATAAACTTGGCTTGCCCAAGTTTTGGCAACCAAATATATGACTCATTTTTTTTTCTTTGCTTCTTATACTCTAAGAAAGACCGCAAGTGAGCGCCTGTCCGGTTGGTCGGACGGTGCACCTTGCACCCTGCCAGCCCAAGTTTGATCTCCCTCGGGGGTGGATTTGTAGGTCGGAGGTGGCGCAGTTTATCTGCACGTTGAAAAAAATCTCCTCGTCTGCCCCGTATCTCAAATCACAGGTAAGAAAAGGACCGGCCTACTCACAGGGCTACGGGCCCCTGTGTGAGGGCGGGGCAGGGATTCGGGGGTTTTCTTGGCCTGCGTGAGAGGTTTTCTTTCTTAAGCACAAAGTTGCAGGAGCTGTCCACCGCATGCCGAGCTTTTTTTTTACTCTAAGAAAGACTAACCTTGTACAAGCTTCCTATTCTCCTGTCAGTATGATCGGGGGAGTCTTTGTAATTGCCGGTCTATATTTGGTTACTTCGGCTCGTTACAATGAAGCGAAGCGAGCGCTCACTGATGGTTATTTGGACTCTCTTCTTGTGGGTCACCCAAGAGCTCCCAAGACACAAGAAAGTTGCTTTAGCAGCTCCATCAATCCTTAAATCTCAACAGGTAGATGGTTGTCTCAATTATTTTCTCCATGACAACAGAATCAAATTTATTTCATACATAAGTTCCTTTTTCAAGACATTTGAACAAGTTCCATGTTCATCACGAAGACATGAAGGGTAGTTAAACTCGTCGTTTAAACATACTCTGGGACTCCGACAAGCTATAGTCAGCAGTTTTTTTTCTTGGCAGTGGCAGGAGAGACATTTGGCCAACAATGTGCCATTGCAAGTTATCCTCTAGAGTCTAAATTCAGCAGTTGTCTTCATAGGCCCAGAGGCTGAGACATCAATAACGAAGGTCCTTATCTCAACCATTTTGTTAATGAATTATCTTTTGGCATTTGCTTACTACATGCTCCCTTTGTCCATAAATAAGTGTCGTTCTCGTTTCACGGTGAGTCAAACTCTTTCAACTTTGACCAAATATAGATAAAAAACTATTAATATTTGCAGCACAAATAGTATCATTAGATAGATCGTTGAATCTATTTTATAATAAATTTATTTGAAGGTACAAATGTTGTTAATATTTTCTATAAATCTAATCAAACTTAAGAAACTTTGACCGGTACGAATACCATAACAACACTTATTTAGGGACGGAGGGAGTATCAAACACCTCCATGTATCCTATTAAAATCCAATAAGCTAGTTTAGTTGTATTGCGCATTAAAACTTGATATAAACTTTCTTGCTAGTAGTCTATCCAAACTTTAAAGGCATATACAATCCATTATTCCTATTGCATATATTTTTGTTCTATGATAACTTTATGGACCTGTTATTATCCTTTGCTTCAGGGGATTACTGATGGATCCAAGTTCTCTACCTTACCAAGTGTATTTATCTTGAGAGCACAGGATGTTCAAGGGCAACCAAAATATTAATTCAAATACTCAATATGTAAATTGCTGAAGTATCGTGTTGTGTCTTTACTGTTTACATCTGGATCTTCCACTCTATTTCCTATGTAAATTGTTGTGTAATATAAAACATAAATGATAGTTATTTGTAAGAGCTGTAGGTTAAAATGAAATCCCAGCATGCTTCGCAAATACATATCACCTGGACAGTGGCCATATACGTTTGAAAATAATTAATGACAATAATTAATGACAATAAAACATTTTCAATATTTACCATCAATAGCTAAGGAATTAGATAAATTGATAAATAATACTGATGCCAATAAATTCATCATGAAAAGTGCTTTCATTTTTTTTTTAGAAAATGGAAATGTCTTTGGCATCTGTGTGACCACACACAATATAACATAAGTGCTTTCATAGCAGATAACATTTTTTACTCTAAGTGTCATATTTCATGAAATTGCAAGTCAAAGGTCCACCTTGATGTCCTAAACGACTTATAGTTGTGACTAGAGATTATAAAACTATGGAACTACAAATCCTTTTTCAATTATACAAATATATAGATTATGAATTGTCCAGAATTCGAGCCTCTCCCTTAATTAATCCTGTACGAACCTCTGCTTGTCTTTGTTGGAATCAAATAGGACCAGATATACACAGATGCGAATGCAAATACAGATTTTTTTGAATGTCACAGAACTAGTATAGAGATAGAGCGCAATCAGATCGAAAATGGATTTAAATAGTCAAATAATATGTGGATATGTAGAGAATTTGTATGCTTGTCAAGAATTAATTTAGTAAAGAGCCAATAAAAAATATTTCGTTCATTCTAAATTATAAGATTTTTTTTGCTTTTCTAGATTCATATCTTTTGATATGTATTTAGATATACACTATATTTAGATAAATAGTAACATCAATGTATCTAGAAAAGTCAAAACGTCTTACAATTTAGAATAGATGGAGTATAGTAGACAATAATCATGCATTGCATTCTATGTTGTGGCTATCACAATAACACAATTAACACTTAAAAAGGTATCTACACTTGCAAATAATAAGTTATTAGCCAATTTATAATAATAGCCAACAAGATCTCAATTCAAAATTTAGATCAAATAACTATATCATAAAATAAGAGCTCTGAACTATAACAATTT